ATATATATATATATATATATTATATGTATATATGTGTGTGTGTGTATTCCTTGTTTCCTCTAATTTGTATTTTTTTTCTTTTCATTATTAGTTATGGATGATACAACTGCAGTATCGAGCGATGGATTATTTTACTACGTGAGAGCGAATAATATAAACTGCAGCGAATGGAGTCAAGCCATCCTTCGAGATTACACTCAGTTTGCTATTGCTCAAGAGTATTACGAAACTTATGCTAGTAAAATAATAACATAGACACGTTATATATATATTTATATTCTAATCATATATTTCAATATTGATATAATTTCACAATATATCTAGAAAGTCAGATAGATAGATTGAGAGAGAAAAATACAATATATATATTTTTTCAGGTGATGTTGGACTTCGGCTGAATTTAAGTCGTGGCTCGGATGGCATTCTCAAGTGGCAGAAAGGCGGCTACACTCTCCTCTACAATGAAAGCGCACTGGACTCTTCGCTCGTCGATGACAATGTGGATCCGAGCGAAGAAGCCTGGTTCTGTTTGCTGAAGACAGAGACTGGCTTCCGGTTCGTCGGAAAGACAGACGGCCTTCCAAGCAAAACACTGTGCCAGGAAAACCCTTTGAGGATCGGATAATAAATGAAATGAAAATAAAGGAAATGAAAAAGGACAAGTTTTGGAACTTAGGTTCATATATATATATATATATATGTATTTATTATATATATATATATATATATATATATATATATATATATATATATATATATATATATATATATATATATATATATATATATATATATGCATATACATGTGTATGTGTGTTTGACCCACTTGGTTTGATTATTCCCTTTGTCATGTATGCTAACATCCTCTTTCAAAGCTCGGGCTGGTCAGGACACTAGTTCTGGCCCAGGGTCAGGATGCTCAGGCTGGTCAGGAGACTTAGGTTCTTGCTCAATGTCAGGTTGTCCAGGCTGGTCAGGAGGCTCAGGTTCAGGCCCAGTCAGGATGCTCAGGCTGGTTGGGTGGCTCACCCTCAGATATGCTCTTGCCATACTGTTCATCTAGGGTTTGCCTTACCCCGGGATCAGGATGGGACGAGGTATGGACTTCAGCAGTGCCACTTGAAGGTGTGGTGTTAAGGGTAGTGTTAAGGGCTGTCACATCCATTCCAACAGGTGTAATCTCATCTGGTTCCATGAACTCTGTATAGCCAAGGATGGAGACAGGACTCACTTTCCTGGGCTTGAGGAATGGCTTCATTTCCCACACACTGGATTGCCAATTGTGAATGATGACTAAGGTGCGTGGCACAGTTAGACGACTGGTGCTACCTTCAATGAGAGTGAGGTGGGTATTGGTAGGGACAGCGAGATACAGTGGCTGAAAGAAATTTCTAAGATCATGGCTAAACAATAGTACTTTCTGCTATATGTACAAGGATGTACCTGTGTGGCTGAGAAGAGGCTTCTAGTTGACTTTCATGACATGCAGGAGTGTGTAGAGTGGCAAGTGATTCACAGCGAAGGCCACTGAGCTCCATGTAGGTACCAGGGGGTTCATTACTGAGTATTTGGAACAGGTCCATTCCATGCAGGTCACCAGGGAAATTGAGGCCATTGACAACACAGGTTTGGTGAATGACCTTGAATGAATGAAGGTAAGATCCACTTTGGCAGTCATAGCCATGGACAAGCCAATGACACCCTGCAAGGTTCTCGAGTTGCCTTGCATGCAGATTCCTGGGAGTAGTGCTGCAACTATAATCTTCACTATCGTCGTAGAGCCTGTGTCGACAAAACGACCGAGAGACATACCGTTAATGGTCAGAGTGATAATTGGCCTGTCTCCTGAATTCTGCTGAACATGCTTGACTAGCATTCCTTGGGTTGTATCTTGGCCGCCAGTTGGCCGTGACCCTTGGCTGGACGGCAATGACCAAAGTGACATGGCAACAGTGTCCTGGCTCTCCACAGCTATAACACAATCATTGACTTGCACGGCACTCTGGTGTAATGGCTCTCCACATGATGGTATTCACACCAACGACGATTACAATGGCTACTGCGAGGGGTAGGTGAGGACAATGGCTAAAGCAGGGCTGTGGGCTGCTTCTGGGAATGTATCTGCTGGGGCCAGACTGAGTCAAATTGGTCAGGTTGGACACAGGTGTCCCTCAGACTGGAGCTACCTGGAGAGGGCCATCACTGTAGTACTCTAGGATTGGCACATTTATGGCAGGCAGGTGACCTGGAACATTCAGGCCTAAGGCCATGGGTGCACCTTGTGTTGCGCTGGAGCAGTGGTTCTCAAACTTGTTTCTGGTTGTTACCCACTTTTCATTCAGGATACTTGTCCATGGCCCACCGTTAGGCATAACGCATAACTACAGTGACTACAGTCCTACACTCATTAGATCCATATATAAACCACTCTAGCAATTCCTCTTGATTTTATTGATTCCATGCAAGTTTTTTGTTCTTTTGTGAAGTAGTAATAAAGACATTTTTGAAGTAATACTAAAGGTATTTCATAGTATAGTGCACACGAAATTTCCATACTCAGAGAATACTGTAATAAAAAAGGATATATTGTTGGAAGCTGCTTCAACACACAAAACAAAATAAAACAAAATTCCGCTTATTGAAAAGTCAATTAATGCCACATTTTCTTTTTCTTATTGACAAATCTTATTCTGAGTCATAATTAACTTCAACATCCATAGCCTTCAGTAGCCACACACATACCTCCTTCCACACTAATTCACTAATTTTCTTCTGAATATTTATGTCAGGTTCCTTTTTCATTCACTTGAATCCCCATTCCAGTCTGGCAACAAGGCATCGCACAACCCTGCACTGAACCTGTAAGTTGCCTCCACTGGCTGCCTACCCACAAAATCCCATTGGATTTATACACATCATATCCACAGATTATGGCCCCCTACATTCTGCTACAGGACACGTTTCACCACAACTAGAAATTAGAAAGTCGAGGAATACCAGCTGTCGTCGCAACCAGCTCAGCAAGCCAGCAGTGAGTCCTCCTCACTAAGCCTTCCATATCCCCAATGAGAATTGTCACAGGTGCCCTGCATAATGGCCATTTCAATAACTTGGCAGAAGTCCAAGGGTGACTGACCAGATATCATGCGGGCCTGAGTGAGCATTTCAAAGAAATGATGGGACGAGCTGGCACCTCTGAACTTTACCTGCAGCCTGGCCTTGCATTTGTGCCACTGTCACTCCCTCTAACAGCCATCCTAGAAGTACCATCAGGGCATATCCCCATGATCAGCCCCTGGCCATGCGAATAAATGCATCATTGGTGGCAGGGCAGGTCAGGAGCTCGATACTGGTGAGACATGACTCAATCTCTTGGTTATGTTGCAGACCATGGGATGACCTCTGGAATGTTGTGGGTGCAGTGGATAGTCCATAGGATAGGTGGCAGAACTGGAACAATATGTTACCATCCATGAAGGCAGTCTTGGGGCGGTAGAAGTCCAAGGGTACCTTGTTATGACCACTAGGGAAGGAAGGATGAGCAGAAGCACCAACAAATTGATAGGTGTGAAAGGATGTAAGAGCTCTGGCAGCTGGGGGCGGTTAAGAATCCTGTTGTATGTTAGTGTTAACCAGGGTAGGGTGCAAATGTTTGGGAACACACTTGGACAAGACACCACCCTGGCCAATTACTCATGGCTGTGGAACGTACATGCGTTCGTTGGAGCCAACTTCTGCTACCAACTCTGCTATGTAGGATAATGTGCATTGTAGCTGTGCAGAAATACTTTCAAGCTGGGCAAGCAACCAAGATGCAGTCTGCGTATCTACTGCTACCTTCTCCTGGTGCCTAGTTGGCAGCCTGCATCTGGCAAGACACAGATACTTCCTAC